CCTCTGACTCGCGTGTCTGCCTTATGCAATTGCACGAGTGCAATCCCATAATCACAGGCAATCGAGTCAGAGTCCGTAGCAAGTTTATATAATTCCGTGTTGACGATACCACGACCACTAGGCGGGCCGAGGCGGGCAAAGTGAATAAATCGTGGTAACTTTTTTTTTTTTTTTTTTTTTTTTAATTAATTTACTACTCCGAAAGAGCTGGAGTAGTCCGGGTTTCGCTTAAGCCACCCGGTAATAGGTCTTTTATTTTAGGTTTTATTTTCTTAAGTAAGTTAAGTGATTACAATTTCTATTTTATAGTTTTAATTATCACATTTGATTATCTGGGAGGAGGTGTTTTGCATAATGTGTAAAATGATTTTTCGTTATTGAGTATTTGGCTGATACAGTCTGCGGCAGAGAGGGCATCGCTGGGGTCTTGTAGGTTGCATCCTTTTGTACTGGTGTGGCCTGATGTCCTCAAGTACAGGACATGCAAGAATGTAGTGTAAAGTGGCTCTGAGACTGTGGCATCAACAATATTGACAGTTTCTGAGGATTCTTTCATTTATTTCCCAGTTACAGCGGTATCCAAGACGAAGGCGATGGAGAATGACGGCTTCTTTCCTTCCCATGGAACGAGGTATAATAATGCGTTCATAGTTGGTGACTTTTTGATACCAGCGTGCAGAGGAGGAACCCACTTGAGCCCAAACTTGATGTTGTATTAGTGATATCTGGAAGGAAGTTCTTTTAGCTAATTTCTTAATGAAACCGAGACTTGGTTGTACAGAGGAGACATGAATCTGCTTAAGACTATCTTTAGCTGTTCTATCTGCTTGATCATTTTGTTTAATACCTGAGTGACTTGGGATCCACATAAAGTTGATGGCTTTTCCTTGCTCTGTTAGTTGCTGAAGTTTAAAAAGTATCGTCGTGATCAATCTGATGTTGTCATTTGGAGGGAATCTTTTGGAGTGAATGTATGGCTGAAGGGAGTCGTCATTATATATATGGTGTTGTTCACTAACTGAATGCTGTAATTAAGGGCATCTTTGATTGCAACCAGTTCTGCTTGCAATGTTGATGAGTTGTCTGATATACGTTTAGCCTTTAGGAAGTCACACACACAAAGGCAGATCCAGCTTTTCCCGTGCGCTGATCTACAGAACCATCTGTGAATATTGTGGCTGTGTCTTGTCGAGTTGATATTTGATGTACAATTTCTTGGATATGGTAAAAGGTTTGGAGATTGCACATGCCTTGGGCAACGGTAATGTATTGAAGTGAAAGTTCGCAAGTGGAGAGACCAAGGTTTTTGCATGGTGTAATTAGGGTGAGAGATGTTAACCCTCTTTCCTTAATTACAGGTAGGAGATTTAACTCTTCAAGGGAGTAAGTATTTTTCTGTGCCACACCATCCGTGGAGTAATGGTGTGTGCTTTATTTATCAGTTTTTTAAAAGATTTGGCGAGAGGATTGTCATGCCTTGATACAACCTTGCTTACAATACCTGCGACAATCTGTTGTATTCTGGTTTCTAATGAGACTAGTTGAGATTCCTCTCTCAGGTTTACTAGTCTGGTCCATTTCGGTGCTCCTAAGATGAGTCGCATACATTTGTTTTGGATTGTCTCCAACTTTGAGATTTCAGTTTTTGAAAGGTTCATCAAAGCAATTGAACTATAATCTATTACAGATCTTATTGCATGAATGTAGAAGGATCGTAGGACATGAAAGCCTGCACCTTTGTCCATTCTGGTAATCCTTTTCATACATTTATTCTGGCTTTCGTTTTTCCTAAGAGATATTGTAGGTGTGTGGACGAGTCGCTCTGTGAGTTGAAGAATACTCCTAAACATTTGTGTGAAGTAACCCA